TTTTTTTGTAGAAAGAAGAAATTTGACAGTGAATTGGTTATAGGAGCAGCTCTCTTTTGCAGCCGCACATTTACCAAATTGGTTTTCATTAACTATCAATGTCATATGTCTTAATGACTGAGACTTATTTGATGAAAGGACAATGAATTTTACAAATCAAATTCACATATCAGAGACGGAAAGATGAGGGAATGAACGTGCGGTATGTGTTTATAGTGTGTCAATGTGAGAATATGTGACTCGAGATCCATTTCCTCATGCTGTTAAAAAAAATACAACAAAAAAACACTGTAATTCATTTTATGATGAAGACAGCAACTTTTTTTTTTAATTGTGTATGGTTATTTTTCCACAGTATTATAAAATGAAAACATTCATAGTGACTTTCTGACTCATATGTCATACAGTAACAGCATCATACATACCTCATATTAAACAAATCCAATCAGAGTAAACAATAAGCACATTACTGCTACATTAACATATACAAAGAGCACCAAATATAGGGATTCAAATTAAACCTAAAATGTAAATCTGGATACAGTTTGAGAATTCTGAAAACAAACATTAAAGCATGACAAATTAAGAAATATTTTAGATGCTGCATTTCACAGTTACATTAAAATAGGCAAAATCAGCAGACATAGCCTAAACATGTTGACATTGTACAGATGGTCAGATGTTCTTGCTTCCACTGAAGCACAAGATGCTATTTGGTTCATTCTCAGATTAGAACATGAAGAACATGATCATAAGGTTTGACACAAACTTGTGGGATTCATACCAGAAATATCATTTGTAAATCTTGTACTAAATTCATAAAATAAGCACCTGGATCTCTCTTATATACATGTAAAGGAGCTGTAGCTGCCGTTTATGTCTCAAACTGACTGAAGTTCCTCTCTAATGTTGTCTCAGCATTACTGTGGACTATTGGGTCCAGAAACCAGATCATCTACTAGATGAGGTTCTTTCTCCTTCAGCAATCTGTAGAATTCTGCTTTTACAGAAGCTCCTCCAGAGTCAAGAGCTTTCCACAAAACTCTCATTTTGTTTTGGCATGGTTCTGTAACATGAACTTCATTGTACATTTCAGTTGTAATCATGCCTTTGGCACGCAGACCATCAGCAATCTCCATCACTGATGTAACTTTCTGAATGAGGTGACGTCTGTGATTGTTCACAAATTCAGATCCTGATTAAAACAAACAAAAAGATTCAACTTTTCAGAAAGTTTTGTGTGTAACAGAAAGAATGAGCAACTACTGCAATTGAGTTTGTACCCGTGAGCCATCTGTGAACTGGGAGTTCTTCATCTTGGCCTGATGTTACTAACAAAACAGAAAAATCATTCATAAAAACCTAATTCAATCAAAACCTTATCAAAGTACTTAGAATGATAAAGAATTCATAGATCACAATATTCTATTTAGTTTAAGCCAAAATGTTAAAATCATCTTGAAACACTTGGGGAAAAACACTAATCAACTATATGTCAAATAAAAGCTCAAAACTCGGGAATTAAAAGAGAACTTTAATTCTTATTAATATTACTGAATATATTTTTCACCTTTATATGGCACTAATTCATTTAGCTGTAAGGAATAGTGTGTCTGAAGCAAAAGCTTAAATATAATCATGTGATATGGGTTAAATCTGTTTTTAATCACAAGTTAAGTCTATTTTAAAGCTTCCATTATTTATATGATTTTTGTTTCATAACTGTTGTTATAATTACACAACTTCATATCCATGATAAATTCAAGCATTGCTAGCAACAATTATTTGTGTCATTCATTACCTGTGAGGACTCGTCGTGGAACCCACACTTCCCTTCCTTCAGTGTTATCCATTAGACTCAGCTTGACCTCCTTATTTCTGACATTCACAAACACTTCAAATGTGGGATGATAGTTTGGACCAAAATTAAAATCAAACTCCTCAGTCTGAAAAAAGAACAAGAATATGAAGGCGATTCTATGAGGGCAGAAAAAAAGGCCTGATAAATCAGCGTTAAACTTTGTGCTAAAACAACTAGAAAAAGAGAAGATAGTTCTATACTTCAGTGACATTGTTAAAGACATTAAATGGATAGTTCACCCAAAAATTTAAATTTAGTAATTATTTACTCGCCCTGATGTTGATTTTATTTATTAATTTTTTTACTGGACCATGAAATCAGAAATTAATTTTCTCCTTAATTTAAATTTTTGGGGGAACTAACACTTTAAATATAACAGAATATATTGTTGAGATTTTTGCAACTAAAAATAATGAATAATGTTTAAATTAAATATGATGTTACCGCTGGCTGCACTGTAGATCCCTTTGGTTGACAGCACAGACGGTATTGTGTTCCCGGGATGAGAAAACACTTTGAACTGGTGTTAATATGTGTATTCTCCGCATGCTGGTCTTTGACCTTAAGAAGAGGTTGGGGTTAGGAAGAGGCTGTGTAGGCCAGTCAGAGTCTAGGTAACAAAAATGGTCCCTTCCAACATAGCTCCTCAAATAATTACTAAACAGCCTTTATTTTTAAAGGGGTCATATAATGCGATTTCAATTTTTCCTTTCTCTTTGAAGTGTTACAAGCTCTTGGTGCATAAAGAAGATCTGTAAAGTTGCAAAGACTAAAGTCTCAAATCCAAAGAGATATTCTTTATACAAGTTCAGAGTCAGCCACACCTACCTAAAACGGCTCGTTCTAACACGCCCCCACATACCTACGTCACGATCTGGGAAGATTTGCATAACACCGCCCAAATGTTCACACAAAGAAAGAAGGCATAACTTTTATTCACGCTGTAGTATTGTTGCCGCCGCTGTCATGTCGTGAAGTCACTGTGTGCTTCGTTGTGAAAGCGAAACTACTTTATTTGGCACCATGGACAAAGCGGAGTCCAGCCCG